CCCTAATACTGAGCAATCGAGGGCAATGCGAGTGTGCCATGCCAGCGTAGAGCCCTAATACTGAGCAATCGAGGGCAATGCGAGTGTGCCATGCCAGCGTAGAGAGGGGTCCAGGCAGAGACGGAAGCATAACCAATCCCATAATAAACCTACCCCCCCCCCCCCTTTTTTGGCGGCTTGCTTCTTCCGTACCACACCTTGGTGTTCGAAGGGTGACACGTCCCCGAATGTGTCTCACCAGTGACTGGCTCCGGCATCCTGAAGGCTAAGCAGCTGTAGCTTAGCACTGCAACCCAAAAACCCACTGTAGCTCCCCAAACTCCCTAACGGGCTCCACTGTATCTTCACGGTATGACCGCAGCAAATCGCTGCATTTTTACATGCGACATATCGCAAGATGAATGCATCCGTGACATCTGCCTGCTATAAATGAGGTGACCATCATTGTAACCTTGTTGCATGGTGGGCTGTGAGGAATAGCAAGGAAGAGCAGTGCCATGGCAACCAAATGTATGCATTTACTGCCACTGGCAGAGCACTTACATTGTAATGGATTGTCCTTATTTATTTGCGCAGCCGGTCACTTAGTTACGTTTGTCACCTTTCAGGGCTGTTTCATTAGGCTTAGCGGCTGCCTTCCGGACCCACACTGGGGTCTTAACCTGCCCCATTATCTGCTGTCCAGACGAAGAGCTGCCCGTCCGGGTCGTCCCTGAGCCCCACCTGTGTCCGCCGGCGGAGGAGCGGGGGCCGTGTGCATGTGCTCATGTCCTCGGGGGGCCACCTCTCAGCTGGACTGTTTTCTTTCTTGATTCAGGGTGAAAAGGGAGCAGCGGGGGAGCGAGGTCCCGGTGGAACGCCAGGGAGAGACGTAAGCCCCCTTTCTTTTCCCTCGATCCTGTGTTTTCTGGTACCTTCATTTCGGCAGAAGGTGGACAGCAGTGTGGGCAGATCCCAGGATCCCGCTTCATGGCTCTTCCAAAGAGGGCCTGTTTGGGAAAAATCCTGCAAATTTTCTGATGTCAGGCTGACTTTGGATATAACGTTAGAATCATGGGGCCGTGTAAACGAGGAGGACCGTCATCCTACACAATGTTCCTGTTCCCATATCATGAATGAGTGATAGGAGGCTACAGTTTGGGGGGGGGGGGGTCTGCGTATTATTATTCCCTGGAACGCAGCATGGATATCAGCACAGCGAGCAGCGGTAGGTCCCCGGCGAGCCGCTCGGCCAGTGAGCGTGTGTCGCACCCTGGGGGCTCTTCTCTTTTCACTGTGCCAGTGCCCATGTCCAGTGCCACAGAGTGCTGAGCAAACGGAAAGCTACACAAACATTTCCTGCTGTGTCACCCCCAGCAGGTGACCGCCAGGCTCCTCGCCGTCTCCCTTACAGGCGGGATCCTCTTCCAGGCGGCTTCCGCGACTTTCCGCTCTGCGTATTACGAGATCCCAGCCCAGCTCCGACATCTCAAAGCCACGTCCGTTAACTGCATGTCTTCACTTGTGTCTCATTCCTGTTTGGCCCTGTGGCCAAAACGGGCCTCTGATCTGCACCCTCAGGTGCAGCAGACGCCGACCAGACGGCGTGAGACGCACGGCCAGGCTGCTAACACGGGCGGCTCATTTCGCTTTGCTTGATTTGATTTAAAGTATGAACCTGAGCCGCTATACGCTTCGGAGTGAGACAGGCTGATTTACACGCCCCCAGTTGGCTTCCATGAGCTTTTCACCGCCTACTTAACTCATGGGTTAATCATGTCCTTATATTTAGACCTGTGTGGTCTAAATCAGTTTCAATACTAAGGAAGCAGCTCAGGGATATTCACTGTGTAACTATTCAGGGGTGACTTTCCTGAAGCCTCCTTTATCATAAGTTCTATGTTAAAAGTGGTCTTGATTTGAATATACTCAGAGTATATTCAGTAGGGTGTTTGGTCTGTATCCTGTAACTGACTTCGGTACAGTGTTTGGTCCATATTTTCACCCCTTAGAGTATATTCAGTAGGGTGTTTGGTCTGTATCCTGTAAATGTGTTTGGTACAGTGTTTGGTCCATATTTTCACCCCTCAGAGTATATTCAGTAGCGTGTTTGGTCTGTATCCTGTAACTGAGTTCGGTACAGTGTTTGGTCCATATTTTCACCCCTTAGAGTATATTCAGTAGCGTGTTTGGTCTGTATCCTGTAACTGAGTTCGGTACAGTGTTTGGTCCATATTTTCACCCCTTAGAGTATATTCAGTTGGGTGTTTGGTCTGTATCCTGTAAATGTGTTCGGTACAGTGTTTGGTCCATATTTTCACCCCTCAGAGTATATTCAGTAGGGTGTTTGGTCTGTATCCTGTAACTGAGTTTGGTACAGTGTTTGGTCCATATTTTCACCCCTTAGAGTATATTCAGTATAGTGTTTGGTCTGTATCCTGCCCCATTTTATTGTGTTTGGTACAGTGTTTGGTCCATATTTCCGCCTTTCACAACAGTATATTCAGTGGGATTTTTGGTCTGTATCCTGCCCACTTATACTGTGTTCAGTACAGTGTTTGGTCCATATTTTCGCCTTTCGGAGTATATTTAGTAGGGTGTTTGGTCCTTATTATCCCCCTGCACAGGCGAACAGACCTTTCGACCTCAGGGACTTCAGTCAGTCCACATTCAGAGTCATTTTGTGTCTCCTGAGAGTAGAATCATACCTGTAATCGTACTTGTGTCTCAGTCCCATCTGCACACTCATATGTGCTTTGCATTATGGGGCCTGTCTATCCAGCGCCCAAAAAGCGAACAAACAGAGAGCTGCTTATAGAATGAGGATTCCTCAGACTGTGAGACCCACTGCAGACGTTACTACAAACCAGACACCTTCTGCATGCCTGTGTTTGACTGCAGCGTAAATATTGATCGGGAAGCGCTCAGAGCACCGGGTAATTAATCAGGCGGCAGGCTGGCAAATGAAAGGTGTTCGTGGTTTAAACACCAAAGTGAAACCTTACCCTTTCATGCGTACCAAACAAGCCCATCCGTGTATGCCGTTGTTAAGTTGTTGAGTGTTTATATCTGTCATAGAGTACTTCATCACGGTACTCTATCCATGATGATGTGTGAAGTGCTTAAGGAACTTTCCTGAACGGATGATGAGCTTAGAGCTGCTTATGCTCTGGTGCCATGGAGCCCATAAGCAGGAGAAACACCAATGAATGAACTTCACCGCAGTGAAGGGTGAGTTCTCACCTTGCGGCCAAAGTGAGGCGGCTTTGCCTGGTGTCACCTAGAGAATGCAGCCTTGACATTACAGCCGAGGTCTGAGATCTCTGCTAAGATGTTTGATGTATTAGTGACCCACCGGTGCTCACTCGTGCCTCTCGAGCCTTCATGCCGGGTCAGATCCATCACCACCGAAGCTGGTCCATTACTGACAGCCCTCTGATGGTCCGGTCCAGCCCATGTATTTACCCTGTTGATGTATTTCAGGCCTATTCTCAGGCCCATTCATCAACTACAGTGTTGTTTAGGGGTCTGTAATTTGGGGTATTTTTCTTTGATGCCCCTTCATTCACATGTCAGGAGCTTGGGGGGGCAGGTGGGAGGGAGGGGGGTCCTGTAAAGGCTGACGCTGCCTTGTATCCTTCCCTCAGCCACAAGGACAGTACCCAGTGTTTGCCACTCAGATAAGACAGACCATCTACCATGGCTTAGGTTCAGACTCCACTGTTCATTCAGCCTCTGGGCCGGGGGGGAGGACCCCCCGATCAGTTCTGACATTGGCTTCTTCTTCACAGGGTCTGAAAGGAGATCCAGGTGCCCAGGGTCCCTCCGGGCCCAAAGGTGAAAAGGTGAGCATATCCATTTGGGCTATTTCAGCACGCGGCCCCGATGGCCCCCCCATGGCGACTGTGTGACCAACCCCCCCGATACATGGCCACCGCATGTTTGAGCACTACCCCGAAAGCTGTGTGTGCATCGATGACACATTTATTCCTGATGGAAGCCAACGCCCTGCCTTGCAATTCGAAAGTGATTTATATGCTTATGTTCCCCCCCCCCACCCCCCCGAGAACACACCCCCAAAATAGGTCTAGGTCATGCTGGGGGATTTGTTCTTTGCAGCTTGGGGGGGAACAGGCCATTCAGCAAGAATGAACTTTCTTTGTGGTTGTGCTGGATCCCCGATTCAGCTATTTTCCCTGAATTAATTCATTGCTTTAAACCAAGATGGTGTTTGGATGCAGAAACGCACAGTAAGTCCGTAGTGGCCACTTTCTGCAGGACTGTTAGCGCAGCCGCCAGCAGAGGACACTGGCAAGCTCTCATTAGGAGTGACACAGACATGAAGGCCTTCTGGGCACTGGGACGACAGGGGCGCCTCGTCGGCTCATTATTTATAAACAAAGCCCGCATTCCGATTCTGTGTCTCTCTCAAAGTACAGGTGTAATAGCTGGGCCACTTCCTGCTGCTTTCATCTCGTTTTTGTTTTTACACAGAACTGCTGTGCTGCTTATGGTATATTTGAGATCTTCCTGTCATTTCATACTAAATTGCGCCCATTTTCTCCTGTTTCCGAGGAGCACTGCGATCACCTGTAACTGCAGATGCAGTGAGTTACGCCAGTGCAGCTTTAATGAGTTCTCTGTTTCCCTGCGAGCCCAGGAGAACGACCTCCTCTCCCGTGACACCTTTGCATGAAAGCTTTGTATTAAAACAGCGTTTGGGGACCTGTGGTGGGCTGCGGTTTTACACAATGTGCTTTACACTCCACTGCGCCTCCACACGTGTGTAAAACAGCACCTCAGCAGACTGTGCCCCCGAGAAGCTCCTCTGAGGACACCCATCAGGGAGCTTGGTAGGTCACAGCCCAGGCAGAGCTTTCACAGTATCAGCTTAATTTCCTGAGCCGTCGTGTGTGGAGGCTTAGAGCCTTATTTAATTAGGCTTCCATGCTGATTCCTTACAAAAAAGGGCGCGGATGTGAAAATGCTATGGGAGACACACATAAGGGTGGTGGAGTGAAGGTAGAGTGGCAAAGGTGGAGTTAAGGCAGAAGGAAGGTGGAATAAAGGTGGAGTGGTGAGTGAAGGTAGAGTAATAAAAGTGAAGTTAAGGTAGGGTGACCAGATAATCCATGTCAGGGAGGACACTCTGAGCTAGGACAGGAATTGTAAATTACCATTTCAATTAAACGGACCTGGATTTCACTTGAGCACTGAGTTCTTGCTGTGTGCTGATTGGTCAGTCTCCTATAATCATGCATGTGTCACTAATGTTAATGTGAAACAGCTGGATGAGTCTTTCAGTCAAGGAAATAAACCAGTCAAAGCACAAGAAGAGCTGAACTAATTAGCCGAGCACAGGAGCCTTTCAATTTGAAAGTAGTTTCTAAACCCCGAAGTAGCTCAAAGTGTCCTCCCTGACATGGATTATCTGGTCACCCTAAGTTAAGGTGGAATGGTGAGTAGTGAAGGCAGAGTTAAGGTGGAATGAAGGCAGAGTTAAGGTGGAATGAAAGTGGCGTTAAGGTGGACCCATATTTCTTCATATTTCAGATTTAAGGTGGAGTGGTGAGCGAAGGTAGCATACTGAAGGTGGTTATGGAGAAGGATGGTGTAACTGGATGATGATGATGATGATTATGACAATAGTCTAAATTCCAGAATAAATAAATGCCCTCACCTCCCCCTTATACATACTTGTAGGTGCCTGATGAACAGATCAGGAAAGGCCACAGATCTGCTGGATTCCTGCAGTATGAAATGACCCCGTTATCATTCCTTTGAGATCTGTGAACAGGGGTGTCAGAGGAGCAAGTCCACCCTCAGTAAATTACATATAGGTAGGACCCATATTTCTTCCAATTGAAAGTGGCAACCCAAGCGGGGGACCCAAAGTGACATTTTGTCATAGGCCCAGCATTTCAAGCTACGCCTCTTACTCATAAACATATGAGTTTGACCGCAAACGTGCAGTCAGATGGGATGCGATCGGGGAGATTCCTGCAATGCGGGGACTTTGATATCTAAAGTCAGAAGCTTTTAAAGTTGAGCATCTTCAGAATGCCCCTGAGCTCCCCTTTATGCCTCACGGATGTCAATCTTGCAGCGCAGATGTTCATAAATGCGATGGTATGTCTTGCAGGGAGACGTCGGCCTCCCCGGTCCATCAGGCAACACAGTGAGTATCTCTGACGTTGCATCTGCTTTATGCAGCCTCTGCTGCCCCGCCCGCCCCACGCTGCTGAGAGTGAGCCAATCACAGGACAGAGTTTGCAAGCTGTTACTGAACCTCATGCCCTCACAGGAGACATGCTTATGTCTCAAACCCCCTGTAAAGAAAGCGGGGGCAAATAAGCAGGCTCTCCGGGGGCACTCAGGGCCTTGGGCGGCAGACGGAGTCCACTGCATGCCAAAGGAGCAGGTGGGGGGGCAGCGGGCTGTGTGGACAGGCTGATGGCCGGGGGGCAGCCTTAGGGCAGGGATCTCCCTCACCTCCCAGGCCGGGTGAGCTGTCAAGTGTTTCCCCAGCAAGGGTTGGCAAGATCAGTCCTCACCCCCTCGCTCTCTGAAGCGGGGGTGTCTCTCTATCACTCCCTGGGGGTCTGAGGCTGAGATGCTCTTGACCAGAAGGAGGCTGGACGCTAACCTGATTATCCACATCTTCTGTGAGCGCTCTGACTTCCAGCTGTGCTAATGTCCGGCTGTACAGATGTCAGAGTGGTCCAGGCTGCCGATTGCAGTGCCCGGCCAAGCTCCGAGGAATCCTGTTGCTGTGAGGAGCTGAGCACCCTGATCTAATAATACATTTATGAGAATACGCAGAATGGCGGTGCTTCTTCCTGGGCGTGAGAGCGAGCCGCTCGTCCCCCTTGTCCTTCACATTCCCCGCAGCGTGATGCCGCCCCGCGATGCGCGGCTGCTGACATCCAAGCTGCAGTATCTCACGCGCCACTGCGGTGCTGCACATGGCGGCTGGGCTCGCTTTACGGGAAGCATCCCTACAATCCGCGCGTCACATTTTGTCCTGCAGCCACACCCAGGTGCCTATTCTGGTCACGGCTTCTATAAAAAGTGGTCGATATTTTCCACTCGAAAGCGGAGCTTGGTTAATTGGCCAGTGGCTGAAATGCAACACTGTTTATTTGCAATATTCAGACGCACAGCTGTAGGGCTGTCATGTCCACATGTTTACCTCGGTTCCCTGTGACCCAAAGGTTGTGTAACTGTAACTAATTCATGTTTACTAGTCCCCTAACCGGCGGACGGGTCTCCATTTGGCATTCTAAGGCTGTCTTTAATGGTGATTTTCCTGCACACTTCTGTTGTCACGCATGTGCGATAGCATCTTGCTATTCTGTTTGAGGTTTCCTTCCAGCCTGTAAGTCTGACGTTTTCATTCTCTAATCTCACTTCTGTAGATGCCATTCCATTGTGACATTACAATAAATTAAATTTAAAAAAAAAACCCAACTCATACGATGCAGTTGTGGAGTAAAATGACATGATGATATTATTTCTTATTTTACAGTGTAGTAAACACTTTCTTTATCTTTGCATCTTTTTTGATTGATGTTTAACACACACTGTATGGCCAGCAGTATGTGGCCCCCATCAATTGATGGAATTGTCTAATTGAGCCACAGCCATTGCTGGCAGCAGAATGGGTGATGATACCGGAGAGGTTAGTGACGTTCCGCTTGGCACTGTCACAGGGCACCATCTTTACAAGTCCGTTCGTTTCTGCCCTGCTGGAGCTGCCCTGGTCGCCCACAAGCGAAGTCACTGCCTTGGTCACACTGTCTGGGAGCGTGTTAAGCTGACAGAAAGGGAAATGATCACACAACCTCAGTACCCAACCTGAATGGCAGCAGATCTCATCGCCAATATTCCGGCATCTAATGGAAAGTCTCCCCAGAAGAGCAGAGGCTGTTCCGGCAGCGACGGGCCGACCAGCTGCATAATGATAGACTTGGTTTCGGAATGAGATGTCGGACAAGGGAGGGACCGTGTCGCTCTGTCTGTCTGTCTGTCCGCGTTTTTCCTGCCTTGTGCCGCTCTGCACATCATTTGCACTGTTGTAAACGCTTCCTGTTCTTGCTGGTTCCCACAGGGCCTTATTGGTGCCAGCGGCCTGCAGGTAAGAGCACTTTCACTCTGCACTTGCAGGACCCCTTTTTGTCACCCTCATGTAGTTAAACTGTAGCTTAACTGTAGCTGTACATGCAGAAAGCTGCTCTTTCAGTCTGGCTCACCGGGCCGCTAATGCACTCTCTCCATCTCCATCCATTCACCAGGGGTCCACAGGGTTACCCGGGCAACCAGGCGCTCCGGGCACGGAGGGCAAGAGGGTGAGTAAACTTTGTATGGCCGCCATGCCGGGGGGGCGAGAGGCATGACCCCACCGAGAGCCACGCTGGGCTCTGAGATGGACGGCCGACAGCTGGCCCTGCGGGTTCGAGTGCTGAAGCCATCTGAGAGTGGGGCCGTCAGGGAGAGGGAGGGCGAGACTGACAGCACAAATGGGAAAGATTGGGGGGGAGGGGGCTTCTGTGGTTCAAGAAAACAGGGAGGGTGCCGGAAAAGCCATAAAAGCCTGATATGCTGACCGGTGTGCTGTTTCCACGGGGAGCGCAGAGGGGACACCGACCTGGAAAAACAAGCCTGGCAGGTGGCCTGGGAGCCGCTGGCGTAGTACGCACATTCCCATTGGCCGAGGGTGTGACGAGAGCTCCAATAGGACGGCCGCTGGCGTGGCACGCACATCCCCATTGGCCGAGGGTGTGACGAGATCTCCAGTACGACGGCCGCTGGCGTGGCACGCACATTCCCATTGGCCGAGGGTGTGACGAGAGCTCCAGTAGGACGGCCGCTGGCGTGGCACGCACATCCCTATTGGTCGAGGGTGTGACGAGAGCTCCAGTAGGACGGCCGCTGGAAGGGACCACTTTCAGAGAGTATGAGGGGGAGGGGAGTCTGTCTGCCAATACTAGCGCACTAACTGCAGGGGCTTTAATTAAAGCAGGTTACCCTCCTGGTGGCATTAATAGGTACAAGGCAGATGAATGTGTTTCTGACCATGTGACCTCCTCTGAGGATGTGTAGTTTTCAGCTGGGAATAAACGTGCCATTTGCTTGTCACAATGATACAAAGCAGAGAAACACCATTCAATATGTTGTCAGTGAGGGCCTCGCATCTGGGATAAAGGATGGACAGATTCGCTGTTAATCCTCCTTGTGTGGAACTCAAATGTTTGAAGAAGGCTCAGATAAATGCATATGAAAATCAGCAAACATGGCCAAATGAACACGCATTTCCCTCTTGGCAAACAGAGACAAACAGAGGCTGCACTTCATGTCCCCAGCCGTCTGTAAGGGCCCTGTGGGATTGGCTCCCTCCTTATGGACGTTCCAGACCGGGGGGCCGGCCGGAAATGGGGGGCAGGGCCTCCATGGAGCGTGTTGTTCTCCTTGGGAATGTGTGGGGGCCCTCTTCTATTTATATGCTGTCTTTGATGGCTGGACGCTTTCCTAATGGCTGCGAACGCGCTAAAGTTTCAGGTATTTTTAGGTGTCGTAGTCACATGCGGTCTTCCGTGCGAAGGGTGGGCGAAGGCCTGGACTGGCCCCTTAAAGGTCTCTAACCCAATTAACGCCTCTGCGCCAGGATTATCTCTGGCGAGCTTTGATCTGAGCTTTGTCTAGTATCCGGCTCGTGGAGAATAGTCCACCATGTCTATCTTTGGTACGGCCGTTACCGATCCGAGAGGAAGTATCACAGTGTCACAATGTGCTGTTAGTCAGCCTGCACTTTAATAGCCGTCCAGGCCACCAGCCCCCGCACGCCCGCCCTCTCTCTTAACAATCTGTCAGCGTCAACTTATTAATTGTCAGTCCCTCCTGACTGCCAGAAATAGTGATGATTGTGACGGTTTGGGAACATCGCTAATAGCCTGTGAATATCATTCAGAGACACTGTTAAATGCCGACAGACAGCGTCTGTCTGACAGCGTGACGTGTGGCCAGTTTCATGCCGAGGAAAAGCTTCACTCCTAATTGTGAGGAGCCACTTCCTTCGCACGTGTGCGACTGTAATGTGAATCGGCGCCTGATTAGTGACAAGATTAGCGACAGGTGGCATCAAGGACCAGCACACGCTGTCGATATTCTCTGAGATTACCCAAGGTGATGGGTTGCTGGATATTCCACACTTATTTCGCTACGGCCCAGTTTGGTGTCAGTTTTCCTGCACCTTGGGCTGCACTAGCAGCCTGTTCTCCATTAATGGCAGTAATTATCACGCAGCTTGTATTTATACCACTGGGAACTCTGAAAATCAGAAAAGGACTTCAGGTCGAGAGGTAAAATGTTAAGAACTGTCTAATTGCCAGCATTCGGCCAAATACAAAGTAAACAGGCAAATATGAAGAGTCTGAACTGGATTATCTCCGCATCACGTCGGACCAACAGATTTCTCTCGATTTCACACATCTGCTGTCTTCGAGGTGACCTGGAAGCCGTCCATCCTGCTGTTGTTTTTGTTGCTGACTTTAATTAGCCAGAGATATAGAGGAACACCAGCCAGCTTTTGTTAAACGTGTATTCATCAAAGAGCAGAACAACTAGTATGATTAATCAGAACGGTGTAAGGCCTGTGTGCTTCTAATTCCTCTTCAGGACATGATGGATTTACTGAATAACAATGTCTGCTTGGCTGAGGGTTTTTTTTTTTTTTTTATTGTGTTGGACTGCTTACCATAAGTTGAATTGGGGCTGTCATTACGTTTTTGTGTTTTTTCCCCCACAATTCTGTCTGCTTTCTGATATGTGTGTCCTTTGTGTGTTTCCCTGGCAGTAATTTGAGAGGGCTCATTGGCTGAGAAGGTCAGCCAATCAAAGTAGGTGCTCTCACCATTTGCTCTAGTCACCAGGGCACCACCTCTAAACCGGAGACTTTTATTCCTTTGAGTATGGTGACATTCACCAGCACTGCCAATCGGAAACCAGTCAGTGTGACAGGATGCCCATTGTTTTGCCTGGGATGTGTGGGCACTGTGGTGCTTGTCCATTAGCATATTAAACCTGTAAAATCCCGCTGGCGATGAAGGCCGAGGCCCAAGATGGCTTTAGCCTGTGTTCCTAGCGGGGTACCATAGCGAGGTGGCGGCTGGCCCGCGGCCTGCGGGTGAACACCACTCATGTGTGTTGTTGCGGTTGCCAGTCACCTGTTCCTGGCCTGTCGCGGCCAGCTTAGCGAAGCCCTCAGGAAGGTTCCTAACGAACAAGGTCTCGTTTGTCCTCAAAGACAACGGATCGCATGCCATCTGTCGCTGGAAGGCCTCGCCCAGCCTCGTGTGCCGAATCGGAGGCCCGGTGCGGCCTGGGTGACAGGGCTGGCCATCCGCACACCACGAAGCTGCCACGCTAAGCTCCATCATTATAGCGCCCCCTGCGGTGTGTGAGGTGACTCTTTATGGGCCTGCAGTCAGCCATATTCACAGAGAATGTGACTGGAAGGAAAGATGTAGCGCCATGCTGATCTGTTTTACCGATTCAGTCAGGATTCAGCTATTAAAACCCGACGACACTAAAGGGTTCTAGAACAGTGAAGAAGGACAGATCTCCAGCAAGAACAGAAGAAGGCCTTTAGATCGCTGTGACTGTCTGCACCAGAAGACGTCAGGCTCTCATGGGAAACAGCAAATCTGTTGTTCACCGGAAGGTCAGGATGAGCTTAGAGTAAATGATGGCTCTTTATTGCAGTGGCCTCTTAAAGCCGTCTTTCTAATGCCAAAGCAGTTGGGGGCTTCATGGGCCGGGAACTCATTGTGTGCAGGGTGGTCAACTTTGGTCAGCTGGCTGGCATGAGCCTTTCAATTCGAGAAAAAGTCTGCACACACATGCTCGGAGTTTAATTAACTCTGGGGTTTGCAAACTACTCCAACGCTTTGATGTATGATGTCTTTAGGTTTATAATGGAATAATATAGATTTGCCATAAGTTTTCTTGCATGAGCGTGAGAGTGTGAAAGCGTGAGTGTCACTCCGGATGCGTGCGAGTTGGCAGCCCGGATCGTGTGTCTGTGGCTGTAGCTCGTCGCTGGTGAAATGGGCGAGCAGGAACCGCTTGTTTTTAACTGGGAGGGTGTAACCTGAGTGGACTTACTGTGTAAACAAGCAGCCCAGTTGTTGGGCTCGAAGTGATTTTCTCATGGTGGGAAGATCGCCCAGCTGTTTGAGGAACACCCTTTGGTAGGAAGAGACAGACAAACAGCCATTATAGAGCCTCATAGCCATTAACGAGCGGAACGAGGCTCCAAATCTACATACCATATCGGTGAGAAAATCATTCTAAATATGGAGCGTAAAATCTGTCATTTTGAAGTTTTATTGCAGAATTAGGTGAAGTGTTTTCTCTGAGTGCCAAATGAATTAAACTTAAGAGCAGAATATGTCCCTGTAATTGGTGTTAATCCGGCAGCCGCCCTGCTGCCCTGAAGCCCTGCCACCCTGTAGCCCTGCCGCCCTGCTGCCCTGAAGCCCTGTAGCCCTGCTGCCCTGTAGCCCTGCCGCCCTGTAGCCCTGCCGCCCTGCTGCCCTGAAGCCCTGCCACCCTGTAGCCCTGCCGCCCTGCTGCCCTGAAGCCCTGTAGCCCTGCTGCCCTGTAGCCCTGCCACCTTGTAGCCCTGCCGCCCTGTAGCCCTGCCGCCCTGCTGCCCTGTAGCCCTGCCGCCCTGTAGCCCTGCCGCCCTGTAGCCCTGCTGCCCTGTAGCCCTGCTGCCCTGTAGCCCTGCCGCCCTGTAGCCCTGTAGCCCTGCCTGGAGACCTGAAACGCCTCGTCTCCAGCATGCAGGAGCTGCTGACACGGGGCGCCACTTACAGTTGTCCGCTTCCTGCTGGCGCTGACACGGTGGCCTAGTGACAGGTGTCTGGTAAGCCCAGAGGCCGGGCCACGTGGCCAAATGTCCCCCCACCTCCACACGTGTGCCAGGGCGTCTCCAAGGTTGTCCCAGAATACAGCCTCCTGCTTCCCGGCCCCTGGGGAGCATCCCACCGGTGCCCTGTCACGTGACCGGCAGCAGGTCTTGTTGGGCCCCCTGCCTCCTTGGTGTTCCACCAGGGCGACGATGTCATGATACCGGGGGGGGGGGAGCAGTCTCTGTGACACAGACAGAGATGGTGTGGGGGCTGGGACATGTCACAGAGACGGGCCCCAGGCCACAGAAATGTTGTTCCGTTTGGCCCAAGCTGCTTCTGGGAACAACAACGCTTGTATAATTTTTATTTATTACCCCCATGCTCTGTATGCGCCCCCCCCCCGTCACCGGCACCTTTCGTCCAGTCAGTCATAG